CCACCGCGGACCCACCGTCCGTGCTTGCGGGACCCGCGGCCGTGTCCACCCCTCCTCAGCCGTCGCTCCCCGGCCTGGCCCAGAGGTGGGGGCCCCTCCTGCGCCCAGCGCCCAGCTTCCTGCTCCCAGAGCCCGGCGCCCCGCGCCCAGCTCAGCCGCCCCCCGGCTCCGGGAGTCGTCCACCCGCCTCCCCGCGCCGAGCGCCGCCTGGCGCCAGCCGTAGACGTTCCACACCGACCATCCAAAGCGAGGCCCTGAGCGTCTTAGGTTATTATTATTTAATTACAACTACCCCAAAAAATCACTTCACACGAACATTTTCTTTTCCCTTTTCTTATTTGTTTTCACAGAACAAAATGGCTAATAATGTGTGAAATCGAGACACTGTAGTTCTCATTGTGATATTTGTGCAACTATGGAAAAAGTGCTGGGAAGGACTTTTAGGGTTGGTGGATCCCATTTTGCAAAGGAGAAAACAGACCCTGAGAGGTTACATGGATGTTGGAAATTCACCCAACTAGATAATGGTACAACAGAAATGAGAACCCAAAGCTGTTTTTAAATAGACTTTTGAAAGCGGGAAATGGTAAATTTCATTTAACGATGTGAAAAGGAGGTTCGTTTGGTCTGGGATTAATCTTGTTAGTGCCCCTTCCTTTTCAAACATTATTTTCTTATTTCAGGCTTACTACTTCTTGGCTTCTAAAGAAAATGGCAGAAACATCATCAGAACCTTCTGGGCAGCTTGTTGTACACTCAGACACTCACAGTGACACTGTCCTGGCTAGTTTTGAGGACCAGAGGAAGAAAGGCTTTCTCTGTGACATTACTTTAATCGTAGAGAATGTGCATTTCCGGGCCCACAAAGCCTTACTGGCTGCCAGTAGCGAATACTTTTCCATGATGTTTGCTGAAGAGGGGGAGATCGGCCAGTCCATTTATATGCTGGAAGGCATGGTAGCGGACACGTTTGGTATCCTGCTGGAGTTTATCTACACAGGTTATCTCCAGGCCAGTGAGAAAAGTACAGAACAAATCCTGGCTACTGCTCAGTTCTTAAAAGTCTATGACCTGGTAAAGGCATACACAGACTTTCAAAATAGCCGTAGCTCCCCAAAGCCAACAACTTTGAACAGGGCTGATGCTCCAGTGGTGGTTATTTCTAATAAGAAAAATGATCCACCGAAGCGGAAACGGGGAAGACCAAGAAAAGTCAACAATTTGCGGGAGGGGAAATCAGAACTGGCTGCAGAGGAAGAAATACAGCTGAGAGTAAACAATTCAGTTCAGAACAGACAAAACTTTGTGGTTAAAGAAGGAAATGATGATGTACTGAATGAACAGACTGCAGCAAAAGAAATGGAAGAATCTGAGCCTGCTTGTGAGCCAGGTAGAGGGGAGGGAATGCCCGCTGAAAAAGATGAGAACTGTGATCCTAAGACCCAGGAAGGGCAGGACCAACAGACTCGGTACAGCAAGCGGAGGATTCAGAGATCCATCAAACTGAAAGATTACAAACTTGTTGGGGATGAAGAAGACCAGGGTTCAGCCAAGAGGGTCTGTGGAAGGAGAAAGCGTCCAGTTGGCCCTGAGGCCCGTTGTAAAGACTGTGGCAAAGTCTTCAAGTACAATCACTTTTTAGCAATCCACCAGAGGAGCCACACAGGTAATTACACTTTCACAGCTTATTGGAATGTATTTTGGAGTAGTGATGATAATAGCTTTCGTTTATTGTGCAACTTCTAGGTCACGGGCATTGTAATAAAGCCTTTATATGTCTTACTGCATTTAGTTCTCACAACACCCTGTGAGACGGGTTATATTATCCCCATTATACAGATAAAGAGACCAAGTCCCAGAAAGCTTAAATAAGTTGCCCAGGTTATCCATTTAGTGCCAGAGCTGGGATTTGAACCCAGGTAGCCTGATTCCAGAACCTCTCGTATTTGTAATTGTTGGTTTAAGGCTGTAATGTCCAGGTATTAGCCACATTTAATCGGCTTTCTGACTCGAACATTCCTCATCTTGACCATAGCTATGCTTTTGGTCTGAGTGGACAGCTTTCTTAGCTGTCTAGCTCTAATCTTGCTGTAAATGTCTTTTTCATCCCTCTAGCCCAGTACTGGCCAAGAGACCCTTCTGTGATGATGAAAATGTCATCATCAGATATAGTGCTGTCCAATGTTGTGGCCACTAGCCATATGTGGATTTTTAGCATTTGACTTGTGCTCAAGTGCTCATGTGGCAAGTGTGACTGAGGAACTGAAATTTTAAATTTATTTGAAGTAATTTAAATGGCCACCATATTGGACAGTATAGCCCTAGCCAGAAATCCCTTCTTCTTTTAACCCTCCCTTATACATACACCTAGCTCACTCTGGGTTCAATTGTAGTTACTGGTAAAATACCCCTCAACTTAACTGTAAGCCTATGTATAGGGACTGGTGCCTAAGTTTTCTGTCATCCAGCAGCTTGCTGTCATCTGACCCAGCAGCAGCTAGCACTGTGGTTCTGAACCTGGGTGCACCTTAGCATTACCTACGAAATTTCTAAAACTACCAGTGCCTGGGCCCTAGCCCCAGAGCTTCTGATTTAATTGTGTTTTGGGAACTTGGTGTTTTTAAAATAGGTGAAAACCCTGAATTCTGGTTCTTTGAACAAAGTAGACACTTGAGGAATATTTGTTGAACAGCATAGTTTAAAGAGTTAAATAGTTCTACAAGGTTTTTTTTAAGGAAAATAGTACATGGGATCTTTCGTTTTGCCCCAGTATTCTGAAAGTTTCCAGTGAATCACTTTAGAGTGGGTCTCTCTAGAAACTCATACCTGTCAGTTCCAGAAAGTTTCCTGAAATTATTTCATAGATGATTTCTCTTCTCTGTTTGCTCTCATTCTGGAACTCCTGTTACTTGGTTGTTGAACTTCTTGCACCCATCCTCTAACTTCTTTATCTTTTCTCTCCTCTTTTCCGCCTGGGAGATTTCCACTTACTATTTTGGCCCTTACAGTTTTTTTAATTTCTGTGTTGTTTTTTTCACTTCTAGGTGCTCTTTTTTCTTTAAATTCCTTTTTTTTTTTTTTTTAAATTTTATTAAAATTTTGTTTTGTTGTTGCACAATGTAATCTCTTATCTCTGTGAGTATGTTTACAATAACATTTACTTATTTGTTAGGTTTTAACATTTTATTCACCTTGGGCAGTTTCTGTTTTCTGCAAGCTGCCCTTTTTTCTTGTTTTGGCATCTGTTTCAACTACTAGAGGCATTCCTTGAATGATTTTTTTTTTTTAAAAATCAATCTTTTAAGAATGGTTTCCTAAGAGCTTCTGGCAAGTCTATGGGTATGGAGAGGGCCTGTAGACAATGTCCTCGCTGGGGGTGGCATGGCTGGCCCCCACTTCCTTGCTGATGCTCTTGTCTTGGGCTCTTCACATTCCAGGGAAAGACTCCCCACTCTCCCACCTGGAGGCTATAGGCTCCCTGCCACCAGTGTCTAGAGCCCGAGGGAAAAGGCTGGGGCAAGTCTCATCATTCCAAACATAAACTTTGACCTGCTCTCCCTGTGGTTGTCCCACTACACTGGACTGGGAGACCTCTAATCCAGAGACCCTGTAGTCCAGAGACCTTTTGTTTTACCCTCTAGAGGGAACACTCTCCATCTTCTGTTGGGGAGAGAGCCAGTCTCCTGGCTCCATGGAGTAGGAGACTGGATCTGAGGGTTCTAACCACCTTTGAAACAGATGTCATTTATCCTCTTACTCCCATTTTCAGAGAACAGGTACCACCAACTCCTGAGTGTTCTGGAGCCTCTGTCTTAAGAGTTAGGTTGTATCTCAGCATTCCTCACTGCTGGCATTGACTCATCTGTTACAGCTTGCAGAATTTTATTGCTAATATTGTTTCTCCTGTTCATTGGCCTTTTGGTTATGTTCCTTTTAAGAGAAATCCCTTTATTGTTATTTTAATTTGAGAATGAACAGAAAGATGTGCAGATTCTTGCTTATATCAATTTTCTGGGGCTCTTATTCCAGGAGAGCGACCTTTCAAATGTAATGAGTGTGGAAAAGGCTTTACCCAGAAGCATTCCCTGCAAGTCCACACCCGGATTCACACAGGCGAGCGTCCGTACACCTGCACCGTATGCAGCAAGGCTCTTACCACCAAGCACTCCCTGCTGGAGCACATGAGCCTGCACTCAGGTAGCCAGGCTTGCACTGGAGGGCAGTTGCCACCAGGTTCCCATTCCCAGGGTGGGCATTACCGTGATCTAAATAATCTCTTCTCAGCCTGGTGCTATTTCCTACATGGTATCATTGAAAGACAGAATTAGGCACTTGTTAGAGTGCAGTTTAGAGTTCTGCACAGCATCAAGCTTTAAACTAGGACTTACTATAAACTGGCTGCTGGGGAGTTTAGTGTGCAGACTTGTTTTAATGACCAGAACTTGGAATTATTTTCCTTTGGATGCCTTTGAGGGAAAACTTGAATTCTCCAGTTCTACTTCAGTCTCCACCATTCCCTATTGCCTTACATGCTTTTGCACATTTATGTTACTGTAGTAGACTCTGAAGCCTTTGTAGACAAGTCACTAGTATCATGTTTTGAAAATGGGGATCTGGGCCCACAATGGTGTTTACCATATTAGAGAGCATCCTAGTTCTTTATAGTTTTTTGCATATTTTAGTGTTTTGTTTTTTTATTTGGCAGGACAGAAGTCTTTTACCTGTGATCAGTGTGGAAAATATTTCAGCCAGAAAAGACAACTAAAGAGCCATTACCGAGTTCATACAGGTACAATAAACTGAGAGAAAATTTGGATTGGTGGGCGAGAAATGCAAATACAAGTTATTTCTGAAACATTGGGTTTGTATTGTAGAAGATAAATGAGTATTTAGAAAAAGTCTTAATTAAAAGCAATCTGAATTAGATGTCCTTGTGTTATTCTCACTACCTTGTGATTTGTGTTTAATTTTTATACTATAATTTTGGTGCCACGTGCAGAAACCCTACAGAATTCATATATTTCAAAAGTGCCACTTGACTACGAGGTGCCAGTAGATTGGTTGTTAGTGGTGCCTGGAGAGAGATGTCACTACCACACAGCTGTCAGTCCAGGCTTTCTCCAACCTGGCTCTACCCACTGACCTTTTTTCTTTCCTGACAACCCATAAGAAATGAATGTGGGGGAGGGAATGTCATTTGAGATTAATTGGCCACAGTCATGCCAATCCTTTGAGGGAAAAAGGAGATTGTATTTAGGAAGACTGGAAGGGTCCCAGCTTTCTTAGGAAGCAGTAAATTGAGATGTATAGGAAAATATTAACTTACCAAATTAATTTAAAAACTATTGTGGTTTGATTAAAGTACCATATTTAAAGTGATTATTTTTCAGGGAAATGCTATAATACAAATCACTGTTTCCATGAGCAGGAGTTACCTTCCCTAGACGGCTCTGGTTTGTTCGGTGTGCCACTAGGTGTCACTGTGTTGTTCTTTGCTTTGCACACATAAGCACATCTCTTGCCTAGATAGAATTCAGTTTCACCTCCAGCATAAACACCTTCAATTTTAAGAAAAACTGTGTGCTCCCTCTAGTTCTGGAGACCCCACTTATAGCCAGCAAAAACGGCCTTGGGCCACAGCCTTCCAGACATATTTGTTGTTTATAGAAGTCCTGTTCCCAGCAGCCTCCCCAGGCTCCAAGATGGCAGAAAGGTGAACTGACACTTTTTTTATTGTCACGACAAGGCCACTCATTACCGGAATGCAACCACTGCCATCGCAAATTCATGGATGTGTCTCAGCTAAAGAAACACCTACGAACACACACAGGTAAAACTCTGTCTCATCTTTCCTTTCTAGTATACTTTAAGTTTTCAGGAGAGTAAGGAATGAAGTACTTGGAGTTCCCTCCTCAGATTGTTTATTGTAGATTGGGTGGGAATTTTATAATTTATAAGCCCAAGCAGAATGCTGTCAGCATCTGTAGGGAAATCACATCTCTGTATATTAGCAAAACAGAGCTTACTTACTGAGCACTTTTACCTAGGGAGATTTATCTAATACCACAAAGTAGTATAAGTCAGAGTCTGGTTCTGTGTTTCACTCTTAATTTACTTCAGCATTCAAAATTATCAAGATACCTTTTTTAGAAAAGGAAGCAAAATGAAACATACCAAGGTAACATAGGCACTGAGGACTTTTTTCCACTTTCTCTCCTAGAATCAGTATTTATAACTGAAGCATTGTCACTTCCAGAAAAATCAGTTTCAGGGATAAAGAGGAATCGGGAGTGAATAGGGCATGTCAGAGTCTTTCATATAAGATAAGAAAAGTACAGGTGTGGACTTTTAGACCTTTGGGTAGGAGCACTTAAAAATCCATTAGATATGTCTAAGAAGAGTATTCTAATGTAGGTTAATTATTTAATGGTCCTGTTAAATTGCCTGCTAAAATTATATATCAGATTGATTTATGTTGCTTTGGACATTTTTTGAAAATGTAAGATTTTCTCTTTAATCTGCTTTCTTGAAGCAAATGTCTTATAGGGGATGAATTTAATGAAAATGTATCTCGATACAATTTTTCTACAGACATTATCATTAATAAGTTCTGTGAAATTTAATTCATCCACTTGGCACATTACTGAACAGTTACTGAGTACCAAGCAGTGCTTTGGGTCCTGACGATACAGCGATGAGTGAGGTAGACAGAGCCCCTGCTCTTGAGGGGCTAACATTCAAACAGGGGAGACAAAGAACAACTGTGTAGCCCGTTAGGCAAGGGTAAGTGCAATGAAGACCTCAACACAGAGTAAGGGGACAGGGTGCAGGAAGGGGAGCTGCCCTTTTATGTGGGGACTTGTCTGGGAAGGCCTCACTGACAAGGTGACATCTGTGATGGAGATCTAAATGTGGGGAGCAAATAAGCCATTGTGGCTATCCGGGAGAAGAGCATCCTAGGCAGAGGGAATGGCATGTTCAAAACCCTGAGACAGGAGAGTTTTTGACATGCTGGAGAAATGCCAGGAGGCAGGAGTGGCTGAGGCACAGCCAGGATGCTGGGAGAAGGAATGGGGTAGGTGCCATCAGAGGCAACTGGAGTCCGTGTAAGGCAGGGGCTTTCAGTCTACCTGTGTGCTTCAGTCGCCTGAGAAGCTTTCAAAAAGAAAAGGTTTGGTCCCACCCCAGAGATTCTGACTGAATTGACCTGAGGTAGGGCCTTGGAATTGGAATTGGCATTTTTAAAAGGTCTTCAGTTGATTCTAGTGTGCACTCAAGCTTAGGAACTTTGGAGGCATGCCCTGGCTGGTGTGGCTCAGTTGGTTGGGCGTTGTCGTGTGCACCGAAAGGTTGCTGGTTCCATTTCCTGTCAGGGCACATGCCTGTGTTACAGACTCAATCCCCTGTAGGGGGCATGCAGGAGGCAGCCAGTCGATATTTCACTCTCACATAGATATTTCCCTCTCTCTCTTCCTCCCTTCCTCTCTAAAAATCAATAAAGAATTCTTAACAACAACAAAAAACTTTGGAGGCCACAGTAAACTCTTTGGATTTCATTCAGAAATGACTTTAGCAAGAGGATTGACGTGATGTGACTTAGAGTTTTAATAGGATCACTCCAGTTCCCACGTGGGGTGCGGTGAGGCAGGGGTGGAGGCACCCATTAGGAGGGTGGAGAGACTCAGGAGGCTGTTGCAGTAATCGGGTTTGGCACAGCGTTGCAGCAGTGGAAGTGGTGATAAGTGTCCAATTGTGGCTCTATTTTGAAGGAAGAGTCAGTGTGATTTGCTCATGATTGGATGGGGGAGGCGGTGAGAGAAAGACGAGGCAGAAGCAACTGGAAGGATGAAAAATCGGAAGACTATGGGAGGAGCAAAGCAAGAGTTAGACTTTGGACATGTGGGCTCTTAGATGTCTATTTGACATCCAAGTGCAGATGTGGAGGAGACAGCTGGAGTTCAGGGGAGACATGCTAGCAGAGAGATAAACTCACATGCTTACACATCTGCCTGGAAACAGCATGTGAAGCTGTGAAGAGAAGACCTGGGGGAGGGGGGGAGCTGAGGTGCCATGGTTATGTTGAAGAGCACCAGAGATGAGACATTTCATCTTGGTTTTGTCTTCTGAGTATAGGGTATTAGTGAGGCTTCTGGTCTTTTTGAGATGTCACCTTGAAATGGGGACAAAAAGGAACAGAAGTCCTTTCTTTGTAATCCTAGCAAACTCTTCTCCACCTTCTAGTTTGAAGAGAAGCAGAAGAGGGAAGTGGAAGATATATGATGGGTAAAAAAGGAGACAAAAAGTACTCTGTAAAGTGGTTTGTTACACTTACAAATAAGAAATCAAACCCATCCAAAAATTGGACTCTTTGAGGGTAGGGATTGTGACCCACCTGCCTCTAGCACAGAAAATATGCACAATGCTGATGAAAGAGTTGGCGTGCCACTTCCCTGCTCCCTGGGCAGATTGGAAAGTTTAGGGAGAGGCCTCCTGGCAGAGTTGTTGCCCACCTCTGCAGACAGTGGTATGAACAGACCTTAGCTGGCAGGTCATGCTGAGAAGGCCAGAGCAAGAAGCACCAATCGTAGCAGTGGGGAGCACACTCAGTTGGAAAACTGTGACTGTTATCTCTTAGCTCTTTAAATACAAAACTCTCTTTGGGTTAGATGTCTCCCTGTGCCAAACCCGAAAATAAGAAATACTCTTTTCCTAAGAGAACATCTTCAGTGAGGCAGATGCGTTTTGAAATGGAGGCAAGGCATCAGGCAGGTGGGCAGTGCCTGTCAGGTCCCCACGCCTTGGGCTCTCATACTCACCTTATGTCTCTACCTGGAGCTAGTCAGGTTTTCAGGGACTGAACCAATCACAGGACTGATAAACAAGTGAATGTATTAACTTAAAAAAGAGACTATACCTTTCTGTTGCCCACAGTACCACCTTCCTGACATCAGTGTACCTGAAAACCATGTTAGTGATCAGAAGATTGCTTGGTGAGCCGGGGGCAAGTTCAGGGAATTGGCCCAGGCCATGGAGAAGCCTGGTGAGTGACCTCAGACCCCACAGTACAGTAACAACCCTCTAGTGTCCCTGTCCCTTGCATGACGTTAGATAAACACTGATTCTGCCTGATAGGCTCCCACTCACATGTAGATGCCCTGCTTAGTAATATATCATCCAGTTAATTAAATCACAGCTTTCATTCACAGCCTCGTTTTGATAGAATGGATTTGAAGCTTCCCAGATCTCCTCAGCCATGTATGTCTAGACCATCTATTAATGTTGCTTGTCCCCATCTTAGTGAGCTCTGGGGGCCTCTCACTGTAGCTTACCCTTACAGAGTCTACATGCAATCTAGTAAGAGTCTCACCATGATGCGAGCCCGGTATAGGTGTGAACACAGTGACAGAAATGATTCCCTTTCCCTGGGAAGATCTGGGATAGCATCCCAGAAGAAGGCCTGCATCTTGAAGCCAGAGTAAGTGCTGCATGGACAAAGGAAGTGGGAAGAGGCTTTTCCAGACACGAACAGGGTGTGCGGAGCTTGAGGCTGTGAGAAGCTGGCATCCAGGGGCCGCAGCAAGGATTTCCATGGTGAACAGCTAGAGTGAGATTGCTGAGAAGGGAGCAGATGGGGTGAGGTGGGTTCAGGGGAGATGTTTGGGCAGAGAGGAGGCGTATTTTGATTTGCGTATTGAAAAGAACTCTCCGGGAGGATGGACAGAGAGGGAGGGTCCTAGGGGTGAACCAGTTAGCTGGCTCTTTGGTGAAGGAAGACGAAGGCCTTTAAGTCAAGGGAGTGGAAAGAAGAGATGTATTTAAGAGTTTTGTCTGGAAAAAAATAGTCACTGCAAACATGAGAAAGTGTTGGTATCCAAAATACGAAAATATGAGTACCCAGTAGAAAACTAGACAGGAGACATGAAAGGCACATCACAGAAGAAGACATAGGAATGGCCAGTAGACATATAAAATGGTATTAACTCTATTAAAAGAAAACGAAATGTGCACTTCCTTTGCCCATTAGGTTGGCAGATATGTGAGGAAATGGAGAACTTTATGTTCTGTTGGTGGGAACTTTCTGAAAACAATTTTGGCAATATGTGTCAAAAGGTAAACTGCCTGATTGTGAAAAGATGTTTGCATAAGGATATCCATCATAAGCAGGATTGTTTATAATGTCACAAGCTTAGAAACTGCCTCAATGTCCATCAGTAAGGGATTAGTTAGGTAAATTTTGGACAGGATATACAGTGAAACACTGGTCTAATCAAATAGACATGAGATGGATTAACAAGAGGGGGGGAAAAAGAAGTTTAATTATACACATACATACTGGAACCCCACATACATGAGAGAGTCAGAGACAGAAAGTTAAAATGAGCTCTGCCTGGCATCTTGAGCCAAGGAATGAGGTAAGTTGCCTGGGGCTTCAGAGGGGAGGAAGGTCATTCACAGGGCGATTAGAAGAGCAGATGTTCAGTAATTAGAAGTTTGCTCCACCCTATACATAGGTATTAAAAAGTTATCTGTGGTAATAACCCTTATTATGGGCAAGAACCCAAATCTAAATTCTTTAAGGGAGAGGTAAAAGTTTCTTATGAGCCCACAGGGTCTGGATTGCCTTCAGCCCACAATAATTCACATGCCCAAGTGGCACATTCTGGGGAGGCCTGTTCTGAACCCTGTCAGTTCCATCTTTTGACACTTCCTGACGAGTTTCATATTCCAGATGTTGGGTTGACAACCGTCTCGGCCTTAAAAATAGGTCAGTTCAGTTATCTCATCTCAGGAGATGGTGATGCAGGTGGGCTCCCAAAGTTAGGCCCATGT